TTCATAAAAATAATACCTTGAACAAATCTTGTTAAATGTCTTGTGAAGATTCGTTGACGCAGCAGGAAATTGGTTTTTAACTGCAATACTGAAGGAAACAAAACAATTAATGTTAGTTTTGAGTGTTGTTATAACCATAGAGTAGCATAAAAAATGGGGGAGCTTAAGATTTGAATTTTCAAGATATAAAAACTTTGATCTTCCTGCAGTTTTGCAAGAATTTTTGAGAAGCCCATGTTTTTAGCTTACATAAAGGTGGTCCTTGTTGGAGGCAGAACAAAATAAAATCCCTTAATGATTCATGCCTGCATGAAGGCAACCCATGTTTAAGATTTTTAGTGGATTGGCAGTCATTTAGAAGTCTTCATTGCATCCAAAAGTAAATTCTGGTTGCAAGACAAGCTATTGTTTACTCAATTTTAATTATTAAAAGAATCAAAATGTCATGTTAAGTTGCATACAAGTAAAAGTGCATTCATACCTTCTACAATAGAAGTAMACWGTGCCAAGCTGATCKCCCTTTGTACTTGCTAAAATAGCCAGCTGATTATATGGCTGACCTACAACSAGATAACATAACTTKCCATGTAGTTAATGATAAATTTGTSCATGTGAATTCGGAGGAGATATATGGATATGGATACATTAACTTTTAGATAAGCAGCGACTATGAAGTGAGCACACGCTACTTATTAATTAGCATTGTTTTTATTATGAATTTTGTTGATTTTTTTGGGCTGCTAAAATATAGGTACCATACAATATATAGATATGGATGATGCAAATGTCATTGCTTTCCAAGGTTTGCTTACAGCTGTAGGAGTGAGCATGATGCCAAATATAGACACAAGAACAAAAAAAATGAGAGATGAAACAAAGAAAGGATGAAGGGAAAATTAGATGAAAGAATGAAATAATGGAGGAAAGTGAAAATGTCAAGGTAAAGAGATTTCATGGGATTATAAAAATGCTGAATTAAAAACAAACAAACAAGGGAGGAAGGAAGGAACATATCTTTACCATTTGAGGGTACAAGGACCAATGCATGTTTGTAAAACACCTCAGCTTGATTGGAATCATCACAATACCTTGCTAAAAAGATTGAAAAAGAGCATAAATTCTTTGGAAGGCTTTATGTATTGTTAGTAGCTAGAATGATATGATGCTCGCTCATCAAAGCTCAATAATAAGAAATAAAAAAAATAAACTTTTTAATGCCCAAAATATCTCTTGTAGTGCGAGAAAGATGAGAATTTGATAACAGTTTTCACAGTGCAGTATATGCATAATAATAACATGAAGATGACTAAAGCGTAAAGAGAACTACATGTATTATATTTGTTGTTAAACAAATTCTRTGTATTTACATCTTGGGAGCACATTTACCTTTGTTATTACTAAACCAACTATTATTTTGTCTCAATGAAACCTGATAATTGCTCTCAAACAACCAAAAATAGTAGCTCTTTCATCTTCATGCTACACTTTTCATTAAGGGCCGGTTCACACTCTAACATAAGCAGAAACCAAAGCAGAAGMTTGTTTACACTTGACAGAAGCATGTTCTTCTGCTTATGATGTCCCGGYTCACACTCAGAATCTTTCAACATAAGMAGAAACAGAAGCAGAAGAAAATTAAAAAGTTTTTATTTTCATCTACTTCTGTCTCTGCTTCTGTTTTTCCTGATTCACACATACAAAATAMACTTCTGCTTCTGCTTGTGTCACATTGTGAACTGGCCTTAAGAATTAACACAAAAATATGTTTGCTACAAACCAATGTCTCCTAGATGAACCAAACAATCTTGACAGACATAATAGCAGGACTGTGTGTGGGGCCGTTTGGTTAAGTTGCTGATATCAGCACCTACAAAATGATATAGAAACTTAGTTTCACTTAGTTAAGAAAATCATGTGGGCCGCCTCTTGTACTCGGATCTTGTGCTATTGCAGCTACAGCCTATACAGGTACAACGTTAAAGGTATGGAAAAAGAAGAAAGACAGATCTTTGTTGGTCTGTGCAAATAATAAAGGCATATATCTCGGCATAGGAAAAACAGGCACTGTTATTACAATCATGGAACCTCATCTGGTAATTACAATCCCAGTAAATTTGAGAAAAGATCACAACTTAATGGAATAAAAGTACTGAAGAAGTGCCAAAGTATTTGCACACTCTCACAAAATCTGATACATGAGTGCAACTTTATTGTCATGGACAATAACTCCTGACCCTGCGCAATATTATACTCAGTATTAATTTCATGCTCTTTCAAACACAAACCACATGTGGGGAATGTTTAGYAAACCTAGACAAAAACATTTTCTATAGGAAATTTATTTTTATGGAGAAAATAGATATTTATTAAGCTCACAACAATCTTAATTGAGAAGAAAACCTGATGGACCTGCACAGTATTTTATGATATTTTTGTGTGGAAAATTGTCTTTAATCTGGTCAAAATGAGGATTTTTTATGTAGATTATACTTCTATATGTACATGTACGTGTATCTCGGGAATGTTTTATTCTTAAAAACACATAACACTCCTAAAAAGGGAAACTATCGCAACTGGGGAAATTTACATTATTTTCTAAGAAACTCGTAATTGTCTCTATGGATGAGACAAATGGTTATTCTGTATTTGGGAGAYTGGAATTCCATACAAAAACATTTTAACTTGGTACTTTATTTTGATGCTCTAATAACAAACCTTGTAGGATTCCAAGATGAGAGGACTTTGTATGACCTGGGAGGTCTAGACTGTAGATCAAACAGATTTCTTGCAGAAGCTACACAAAATAATAATAACCACTTAAAAATAACAATAAACTATYTTTTGATGATATGCAAAGTCATGTAAAATCAGATAATCCAAACCGTGATACCTTTTGGTATTTTCTCTGCGAAGTATAATACATGTATAGATTAGAATTCATCATAATTATACCTGAATATAGAATCCACTAGCTGCTTCCAAAAACAATGAGAGAACAGCTTGTATATCATTAGACTTGGAGCCCTTAGATAAACCAGAYGATACAAATAAATACAACTGTTATTAAAAATTAATTGTAGCTAAAATGAGTTGGATACAACTTGGGAGCACTAGTTGAGTTTCAAACCCTTTTACATTCTTCTTATTTTTCATTTATTGATTGTCTGATTAATAGGTCCTTGATAATTGCCATGCAGTGATTGGATGATGAACTGATTGATTGACAGTGATTGATAATGGTAGATTGACTAATTGATTAATTAAGTGATTGAATTGACTGATTGATTGATTGAATGGTTGATTGATCAGCTGTAGCAGTGATTGCTTGATTGATTATATAGTTTTAGTGATTGTATGATAGTATGTTGATGTGCTTCACCTTATTTTCTTTGGCCTGTTGTCGTAAAAAATCTATTTGACTTTTGAAGGCACTATTCCATCTGATAACAAAAAAAAGTCAGGGATAAGGATTATTAGAAACAAAAACCTTGCTTTTGACCAACAAACTATACTTACAAATCTTGTTCCACCTTTTTATCAAGAGCAAACTCAAGATCATTCAGTAAGATACTTTTATACAAATCCTGCAACCTTGAAGTCAAATTAGAAACAATTCAGAATAAAAAAAATTAAATCCGTGGACTGAGGATGTCTAGAAATACATAAATACATGTAATATGAAGAAATTTGAACAATAATGTCAGAAACTTTAAGAAGTGATTGATTCATTTGAGAACAAGAGAAGACACTTTTATGCAATGCAAACATCAGTCTTAATAAGAGAGATCCATCGGTTTGGATTAATTTAATAAAAGAATGAATGTATGTTAATAAACTGAAAATAACAAAAAAAAAACTAAATAAAATTAAATTCAAGGGATAAAATTAAATCAAAAGCTAAGGATAATTGAGCTTACATCTGCCTTGAAGACCATCCTGAGCTTCCAATATTAAAATCCTCAACGCTACCTAATATAAAATCATGAAAAAAAACCCTTCGTGACATAAAATAAACATATTACTTACTAGTATTATTACACTGTACATAATTAGCATGACTTTCGAAAGAAACAATTTAAAAATCTTCCAAAAGATACGAGAATTGGCGAGAATAACTGAAAAATAATCCTTACTTGAATATAAATAAATCAAGAAAAAGAAAACAGAGACTTTATCAGTGATGTTGACAAAGTAACGTCACCAAACGTCCCACATTTGAAAATATTTTTCCGTCATTTGAACTTAGCTGAAATTTCTTACAATTTCATTAAAAATAAGGATGTCAGTAATACTGTCTTCACATTATTATAAGTTCCTAGTAAAAAGGAAAAACTATTTCAGAAAKAAAGAAAGGCAATTTCGTGAAAGAAACAAACTTTAAGCGAGAATTTGTGCAGGTGAAAGCTGCTCAAAACGTAGAAGAAAATCTCAAATGTGTAAACAACTCACTTTTCAAGCTCGCCCGAAGAAGTTCAGCTTGTCTGAAATAAGACGAAATTAAACGTTGAACTTTTACATATATTAAAGATTAGCATCAAGTTAAATCGTGGAGTTTTTGTAGCTCATTTGTCGAGAAAACTAACCTTAAAGCTTGAGCTTCGGGACAAACAACAGCCTCCATGCTAAAACCTTCATTTTGCTGCACAATGGGGATAGCCGCTGGTTGCTTTATACTTTGGGCTCGGTTTTCAAAGTGTGGGAAAATTAACACGATAAAAATAAAATAAAGAAAAATGTTTTTCTTCAAAGTGATAACATTGATGCAAGGTGTGCCTTTGATATGAATAAGCGGCGTCTTAGAAAGATAGAGGAGGAAATACGCAATTTTGAAGATTATCATTACTTGGGCTACCTGTGGTGCGAAGAACTGACCCAAAAACTGATAAAGTCAATAATCACTCCTTTTATTTCTTTTATTTTTTCCAAAAAAAGCATTAACTGGAAATGCGGTCCACACCGCTTGTTTAAAGGCAAGATATTATTTTCAAGTTCGATTTACTTGGTATCATTATTATAATTTTTAGTGAAATATTATAGAATTCATAAAGCACAAGGATGTCAAAGATTTGATGCTAAGCTGGGGAAACTTGAGCCACGAACACTTCAAATATTTTTCTGTTTTTTCATGATGTTTTTCTTTTTTTATGTAGTCAATCAGTATTGAGCTTTATGCGTCGAACGTCTCGATCTAAATAAATGTTAATATTACTGACAATCGATGACAATGGTCTACGTCAAATACTGAAGTGTTATTGTGCATGCGTTATAATGTTTTAAATAAGTAGTAGATTCGATACAAAGATAGTATAAAAAAGTCAAGTAGAATTTTGATTCACACGGTTCCAGTGACCTCACTGTACATGTTATTCTATCACGATTTTACTTCCCGCATTTGATATGAAAAATAGTTGTTTTTGGATTCCCCAAATATGATAGTATAAAAGATGGTTTAAAACATTCGTCATGTTTTTGTCTTTAAAAAAATTAACTTAAACTTGGTATAAAATTAGCACCCGATCCCTTATGGGAACGTTGGATAAGTAATACTTATCCTCAGAGACCAGTTGTATTTATAGGGCGTACACGTTAGAGTGATCGTTGCGTTGTCGTGCGTTCAGTTACGTTTTGCGTACGTAATGAAGCCGTTCCGTGAAACACCAAATTATTCATTCGAGGATCGATTGTGTTATTGCTTCGTTTCCACACGTAATATTTTATCWGCGCTATTTTCCGAGCGCAGTAGTGAAGAATCCCCTCCGTAGTCGTCGTCGTCTTCATCATCGTCCGGGGACGGATTATCGCCGCTGCCGTCGCTTTTCCAATCCTTACGGAGATTTTCCTTCGCGTTAGGGTCCTTGCAATCGCACGCAATGCCACAGTTTGGTGGCACAGGTCGAATGACTCCATCTCTTGAGGTGGATGTACAACAATCTCCACCGTCCCACCGACAATGTAGGTTGTTATGTCGCTTGTCGCAAAAACCGTCCGCAAGGTCCTTCATTCGACATTTCTCCATGCACGAGATTGTGCTGGGGTCTGGGTCCCAGGTAAGCTTGCTGGTGCACTTGATTGACACGTTCCATATGTTCTCTTGGCCCTGTTGAAGAATCAACATTACGATCAATCAATCAATTAAGCAATCCGTCAATCAACTATTTATGATGCTCGTCAGTCACCTTGACAACAGCATCATAGTAGGAGCTCTCACATCTTGCTTTACAAACCCCCATGATTCCCTCATCATCGCACGTGTACACRACACCAGACGTCACGGGTTTGTTACATGTCTTTACTTTTGCACATTTCGTAAACTTTCTGTCCCATAAGCCATCATACCCGCATTTGATATCATGAGGCTGAGAGAAAATTAAAAATGTCATTTAAAATATCATTTTGGGAAGGTTGAACCATATTATAGCACTGAACATGTTAGGGAAAGCGGTAGTTTAATATTCAGTTCTTAGCTAAGAGTCCTGCTTTTGCGTAATTGGATTTAAAGTTTTGAGGCCTTCTTCGCGATTTTTCCGTCTGAATGCGCTGTTCAACCCCGCGCCCAGCTGTTTGTTGGACGATTGGTAAGGCCTCAGAAACCAAGGGCTGAAATCAGAAATCCCAGTCCAAAATTGGCCTGAATTCAACATTRAAATGTTGCCAACTACGTTAGCCTTCCTCGAATGTACACTCGATTTCGTGTAAACTCAGATTTGTGCTTCCATAGTCGTAGCCAATCGAATTTTTTCATGTTACAATTATTTTTGTGCGTTACCTTTTCATTTGGGCAGGAAGAGGTACAAACACTGCCAGGGGAATCCCCATTTGTGCAGTTGTACCAGTAAAGTATGTAAGGTGGAGGAAGTGAGCACCTGACCGGTACGCACTTCGAGCTTGATATCCACGTGCCTTCTTTTGTGCAGTGCATTTTCAGGGTTTTCCTCGCACGTACAAATGTTTGGGTTTGGAGTTTGGTGCCGAGTTTGCAGTGGTACTTGCAGGCCATACCAGGAAAGAATCTTTTGTCTTTTCCTCCAATACACGCATGGCTACTGGGAATGGCAACCGAATTCAATGGGATATCAGGTGGTGCGCATGTCTTGACGCAGAACGCCTGCTGGACTGACCATTTGCCGTCGTCTTCGCATGTGATAGASGTGTCTTTGCCATTGAGTTTCGCGTTTGTTACGCACTGGAATGAACACTTCGATCCAAAACTGTGCCCCTTTGGACATTCTGTAGGATATGAAAAAGAATTGAGCAAGTCTTACTTTAATTATTGTAAAGGCTAACGTGTTCGATATTCACCTGCTTTCGCATTGGGTATCTTTGGTGGTCCACAGTTCACGGCTTTACAGTGTCGATACCCYTTCCACTTGCCATCAAGACAAAGAAGCCTGAAACGTTTCCTGGGACGGTAGCCGTTTGCGCATGTCGCAAAACAGTGCTGACCTTCGGCTGAGCCCTCGCACTTTAAATTAGCATTTGGGATTTTCAGTTCHTTGCAGGATGGTTTCTTGCAGCGGTATTTGTGGCACTTTTGAGTACGCGGGTTGAAAAGCTCGTCTGGACCGCATGCTTCTATTGCAACTGGATCTACTTTTGTTAGAGAACGCARAGCCACTCCAGCAAAAGCGATTGAGAACGAACGGAACTTTATTCTTACCTGATAAGGAAAAAGAAAAAGAAAAACATTATGATATTGCTATTGCTTCTGACGTTTCAGTTGCAAATTTTGTTTCGTGGTTTTCATGGAAAATCTGAGGATGTTAGCAACAAAGCGCTCCTTGTTTCTGGACATGAATCACTGACCTTTTGTGAGTAGTAAAATGGTTTGGTCATGTCATGTCTGATTGGTACAATGGCTGGGTTAGTCTTACAAGATAGTGGTACCGACTTGCTACCAGATTGGTGTCTGTGKCCTGTAGTGTCAATCAATTCAACCTGGCAAAATAGATTGATCAATTACTGACTTAATTTTAAACCATTGGTATAGCAAAAATAGATCCTTAAGGGAGTACCCTGGGGTATTTTTTCCAGTTATCTGTAAAGTACATATATAAGTCCTCTGGGGAGTCCTTTGGGCAATATGTCGTTCTTCGGTTAATAATTATGGAATAAAGATCCTCTGGCATATCCTAGACAATCCTAATTCTATCAGTTATTGGAAGCAAAGTTACTGCGGAGTGCCCCCTTTTTATGTTATTATCAAATAAAAGACAAAGATCTTCTGGGGGTGCCCCCCTGGTTATATGTTTGCCATGAACATAATGCCCTTCCCCTCCCTCCTTGGTATATTATTGTTACCTCCACTGTATTGGCATTTTGATGTTCATTGTATTTTGTGAGGCCGTCAGACGCGAGGTACAAAACAACAGCAGCAGGGACAACGGGCTGCTTGAAGGTCACGTCCAACCAATAGTCTTCGTCGCTACGACTATCGCGACGACAGGGACTCCAAGAGATTCTGTAATCCTTATTCGCCTTACATACCTAAAATGGATGCGAGTACAATGGCTAAATTATATTTAATAGATGAATTAACGAACGAATAAAGAAACCAAGAAAAGGGATGGATGGATGGACATGACAGAATAAATTGATAAATCCACCGTTGAATAGTCTCCTTCACGGTTACGTGCGCCATCTTGAAAGGTAGCTGTGCCTTTGCATTGAAGCGAGACAACCGTTGAGCGTGCAATGATAGATACCTGTGAATAATTGTMTGTAGGTGTGAAAGAAGGTTTCTATCATTGCACGCTCAACGGTCGTCTCGCTTCGATGCAAAGGCACGGCTACCTTTCAAGATGATGGCGCAGGGAACCGTGAAGAAGACTATTATCGAGACGGAAAATGAATGGAGGCAARAATAAAAAGATGAAAACAAAGGAATTCAGTTAAAATGTAATTTAAATGTAATTTTGAAATATCCATCAAGAAGTTACCAAGCTGGTATCAGGCGGCCCAACCACAACACTCTCAGGRCATTCCTCGTCCCTCAGGTTTGGATTACTAGTTGCGCTTTCAGTCCACTGGTCTTGAAACCCGTCTGGTGTAAAAAACCCACAGTCTTTGATGCTAGTACGACGCTCAAACTCTTCACAAATCCCATCTCCATCGTGTCTGTAGCAAAGGCTCGGATGACCTACGTAGGTCGCAACAAAACATGATTTTTCAAGATTTAAAAAGCGCACAATTTAATYAGAGTACAAAAAGTGCAATCTTATTTAAATAAGTGCAATCTTTTTATCTTTTCAGTTTTTTTGACATAGATATAGTGTTTAAACCTTGCGTGATCCGTAAAACACAATCTGAATTTCCGTAAAGGTACGTGCAGTGTTTACGTTTTCATTTTCCGTGTCAATGTCCCAAAAGCTACATGATGATAACGTGAATKTTAACCTTGCGCACTTCCGGAGTTGTTCTTACAGACCACCTTAGCCACAAACCACAGGCATGKAGGATAATTATTTTACCAGAGGAGATTAAACATTACGGAATGAAATAGTAGACCGATGGATAGGTTAAGAAAACGTGAAAATACACGAAGCGGTGGACCAGGTCAACTGCTACTTGATAGAGTCGATGATAGCTATGCGCGTGCTCTTACTTGACCACCAACTATCTTGCGCTATCGTGACCCACTATCATCAATAATACTAAGAACTTGTTTAACATTCGCCTTTTGACCACAACATTCTTGATAAGAGTACATGATAAACAAACATCATGGTTCGTTTGACCAGGACGTGTATCAGGGGAAATAAATACTACATGCTAGATACGCGCATGCGCACATAAGCAAACGCATACATCCAGAAAAGCGTAGTAAACATTCAATAAGTGAAAATAGAAATGGATGGATGAATGAATGACAGCTTCTTTCTTAACTGCGAGGAAATCCTCAGCAAACGTACCTTTGCAGTGAAAAACATCTTCTTTCTTACACTGTACATTACATCCATCACCGTCGCGAACATTGCCATCATCACACTCTTCGCCAGTTTCTTTGTCCACTCGTCCATCCCCGCAAAAGCCTCGTTTGGGCGCGTAGTTTAGGACTGGGGATGAAGGACCCACAACGCCTGAACTCGTGACAGCTTGTACGGTGTATTGATAACTGATTCCTGTTTTKATAGTCCTGTGAGGTAAAGGGCACTTTAATGCACAAGTGTCAGAGCCTTTCAAAACTATATTAGAATATTATTATCAAAAGTCATCATGAAGAGATAACTGGCCTTGAATTAACTTGCTTAAGGCGCGTAGGTTATACTGATAAAAGAGTTGCAAATGATACTTACGTTGGAGTCAATCACTGTCTAAAACATCAATAAATTTCTATACTATTGATGCCGACTAAATATATTGGAAGCGTTCATGAATAAACAAATGAAATAGAGAAATAAAGCTGTTTACTACTATTCCAATCTGAGCCTACACTCAATACAGAAGCCTCGATAAGCCGACCACGAGTATGGCCGATTTTCAGAGGTCACCATGTGTACTATACTGTACTTACTTGTCTGTAAATCTCGTTTCCGTGACAACAACGGGCTGGTTTGACGTAAACGCCGGTGAACGTTTAATRCGGTACTTCAGTGGTTTACARGGCAAGCAGTTACGATGTARCAAGGAAGAAGTRAGCTGTACRGCGTCAATACTGGTATAAGGCGTCCTGACGTAGATACGCACCTTAGCAACCTTCTTGTCGGTTTTTATYGCCATGGTCAGCGGAGCATCACATTGCGCAGTCGCATTACCTAAAGACATGACTGTGGAGTCTTCATGGAGTAGTTGTATCTCACTCAAAGCGTTACTGGAATGCCAGTTTACCCATATGGACAGACTTGARGGCACCACAGGCTCCTTAAATCCGAGCTCTATGTAGCAGTCTGGGCACGAGTGAGGTCTCTGTAGCAGCGACCACGCGTTKGGKGACARTACRCAAGGGTCGACGTCAGGCGCACCGATAGCCTGGTGCGAGGCCCATAATCCATCTGGTTTATCAGGCATAGGAGAGTACGCTGACACGGCGTATTGATGTAAAACACTGTTCTCTCGGCATTTGTGACACATATTCTTAGCATTCTCGCCTCCATCTCCWAGAGGGGGGATCCACGCAATGGTCACTTTGCCTTGCGATTCACTAGTAACCCGTGGGGGAAGGGGTATAAACGATGGYGTTGTGTTACTTGGTTGCCATGATTGAAATATAAGGTCGATATAGCAATGCATACGAGCGACTTGTTGCGGTGTGAATGAATCGGTGCACGAATCGCGACTGTAGGACATGTAGTTATTGAAAGGCGTGTTCTTGAAGACTCGTCGACCGCACACGCCTTCCACGCTGTATGGCGAAGGATCACGGCATCTATTGTTCATGGGCGTTGGGTTGGTGTCCGAACAAAGATCYCCGAGCTCCATGGAGGGGAAATGCTCGTAGCATTCATCTGAGCACTTCATTTCAGTCGTAGAAACACCATGGAAGACGTGCCATAGKCCAAGCATGTGACCAAGCTCGTGTATTAAATCATTAGTGTGTCCTTTATGTCCAAAGAAACTTGGGTTCACTATAACTCCACCCAGAATCCCGTGCGCGGTTTTTTCCCACGGAAACGTGGCCTGCCCATGCATCATGTTTTTACACTCGCGTTCGCCACACTGCGCAAAGTACACGTTCAAGTAACGATGGTTAGTGAGATTCAAAGAMGACTTGTACTCACGAATGCTCATGTACGCGCGGTGASGGGATGTTGGATCGAAGCAGGTCTTATGCGTTTCTGTAAGTTTAGGGTCGCAGCAGTCTCCGTAGTCCCAGCCATGTTGACGTATGTTACACTCGGGGTCACATTTTCCATTGCCTCTTTTGGATGGATCACATTTAGACAATTCACCTTTGATGCAATCGCCACCGTCACGCCCGGTAGTGGAAAAATCACACTGCGAATCGCATTCCATATTTCCGACCATACTAGGAGTGCACATGGATAAAACTGTGCGCCTACGAAGAGATGAATTTTTCACGCTTACTTCATGGAGATCCCACGAAATGCCGTATCTACGGAAGGTAGCGTTTATAAYGCGYGCTTGATATTGTATCTGCGCGGGCGTTACGATTGGATTTCGACCGTCGTCTTCCATAACGTTGATGACYCGCAATCTTAAGATTTTTGGATTACGTAAGTGCGTGTTGTTTACGTAGCTACGTATAACTTCTGGGTTGTCACATACAGTAATACCACAYGGAGGCTTGGCGATGGATAGAACGTGGGCATCACTCGGTATCGTCGACTTGATGGTTTCCGGCAARTGTTTAGTAATCGCGACCCAAGAGTTTTCTTGTAAATCATTGTCAAATCCTTCATAGAGAATCAGCGAATTGGAATCAGCCACTCTATTGCTAAACACACTTTGACTTATGATYCTGTGMGATTTAGCAATAGACCAGAGTTTAATTTCGTCGATCGCTCCACGGAAGTAYAAGTTTGATTTGGCATCACCGCCTGCTTGCAGAGCCTCGCATTGATCTTGCATYAGTGCTTTGGCAAAAACATGTCCTTTTTGATCAGTAGAGACTGCTACGTTGGCCTGATTTATGTACAATTTCATGTATTTACCGTCATAAGTGGCTGCGACGTGAATCCAAACTTTTGGTTCGACTTTCARAGGTGAGAGCACAGTGCTGCTCTTGTGTGAGCGCGCCGCTCGCAGGCTGAAAAACACACGAAGATTTTTTTCCGCTCCAGCTTCTTGTAGCCCTATTCGCCATCCTCTATCGCTAACTTGAGGCGAACAATAGTCAAGTATAGCTAAGACGTTTACAGGAGATTGYTGTCCTCCTTCTGGCTTCATCCAAAGTTCAACAGTGAATTCTCTTGGGGTGATATAACTCTGTTTCGTGAATTGAATTGTTTCCTTACCGAAGAATCGTAATGCTTTACCAAAGCCTGATCCCGAGGGACGGGAAGGCGGGAACATKGCATTATCGTGGCGTTTCACTCGTCTTGTATACGTACAACCAGAGGAATGTCTCGCTTCGTCTTTCTCAATTCTTTGCACAGTTTCATGAAGCTGATCTGCGTTCGCGAGGTCTGATTTCAGTCGTAATAACACGAAGACGCAAAAGATCCTCACGTCAAACTTCATGCTAACTAAGGATCCCGCTCTGTAAGTCTAGACAGTYTAAACCATGAAATTGTTCTGTTATAATGAAAACACACTTCACTTTTTAAGATTGTGATGGAGTCCTGTAAGAGATGCGTTACTATTGATGTCAGTATCTCATGTCACAATCGATCCGACGATTAATATGACTCCTCTGATGACATCATGAATTTCCACAACACCAATAGCCTCTGTGCTATCACCAGGGGAAACACCAACCTCAAAGAAACGACACTTGCGACTCTTTACGGAAGGAAAGTGCAACAAACCACAAGAACTACCGCTTTACTCGCGTAAATAAATTACTTTTTGAGTAATTTAGAACCAAGGTCACACAGCAAGCAGACTTGGACGTGCGAACTGATTTCTTCACCATGTCATCGGCCGGAARTCTCACCTGTGATGACTGACAATGTAAGTATTAAAGATGGAGCTTTGGGGCCCTTGGGAAGTTATTTTTCTCGTTGAGAACAGAAATACCTAATAGACAAACTTGTGATTATTTTTGTCAATGTTTTCTAATTTTTATTAATTGGACTTATCCAATATTTTATTATCATATATTATCTAGATACATTAATGTATCAATTCGTGATATTTTCATGATAATCCACTAGAGTGTAGTTTTTTGGAAACTATAAGTGCTTTGGTTGACTATGGTTTTATGGGAGAAATCGCGGTTAACCATAAAGTTGAATAATTGCGGTCACATGCTTCAGCAACAGCGGAAACTTTAGTCGAAAACTAACTACCTCTAGAAGCGCGCCCTTTTTCCGATCACGGTAAAAGGGTTGGGACCACAGGATATGCAGGGAATGCAGTTATGAAAGCATATTTGGGTTATAATAAAAGCTATCAGCATTAAAATTTACTCGACGGCGCCAGATCGGGACTTTGTTCATTTTGCAATGTCTAAGAATTAACGAAATGTCAAAAGCGATTGGCAAGCCTCAAAACAATGCCTAAACGTGCTTTATTTAAAAGATGTATACATTTTATTTACTCAGTAACAGCGAAAATTTGGAWGTAGGTAGGATAAGTCTAGGAAACTATCAGAAAAAGAAAAAAGTCACGCGCGCGGATAGCTAGCGTAAACATTGTCATCTTGCCCAGTACAGAGAAGACAGAGAATCCTGAGTCCCAGACATGGTAACTTCATATTGTAACTTTTCTAACCTCTTAACTTTAATAGCCCAGGTCAGTTATAAGAACAAGAAAAATATGTTAAAGAAGAGCATATCAGAATAATGCCAACGGAACTCGAAAACGGCTAACGGAAACTGAAAAACAAAAAAAAATTACAAATCACACCATAGAAACTCACGTGAGCTAACATGGGAATCGAATGGGAAGTTAAGGCGTCACGAAGATTTTGTAGATATTTTCTTAAAAAAGGACTTGTTTTGTTTTTACTCCACAAACCAGTATCGTTTGCTAGTAATATCCGATGCGATTTTTTCATAGTTCTGCAACATAAAATCCTCCTCGTCCGAAACAGCAGTAAATTTACGTTGTGTAGATTTATAAACGCAAAAAAATGACTCAAAATGACAGCAAAAATATCTAAACATAGCTTAGACACGCACGTTTTACGCAAGTTCGTCCATGTAAAGACGTAAATCATTAGCGTTTGCAAAGCGTTTACGCGTGAACAGGTCTGAATAACCGGAAACGCTGGGTTACTTTTTAAAACGTGCTTAAAATGGCCCGTGCCCGTGATTGCTTTCAATACCTTGGAGTTCAAAGTTTTCAACTGAGAAAGATCTGGGCACGAGAGTGAATTATATATATATATAATATAAAACGATGACCTTTGTAAAATTTTTAATGGGAAAAATTAAAAGAATAGAATTTTTTTTATACACTATCAAATGAAACGAAAGAAAGAGAACAAAGAAACGCGCCGCGGGCAAAGATTAAGATCAATTTTATAGTCGCTCACATATCCGTGATCCTATAACTATAAAAAAACTGTGACCTTTGAGAGTGTGATAAGCCAAAGTCAATACAAATAATGTCTCAATTACATAATAAATATAAATCAATAAATTTTAGTCTTGACCATAATTAATAAAGTATTTAAAATCTCAAAGTGAAAGGCAGAAAATGATGATAATATCACTTTAATAYTTCATATTTACAGACTAATAATTACAAACTTTGTTATCTAAATATCTTTGTACAGAAGATTATATTTTGGAACATTTCTGGGATCAAGAGGCGAAGTTACAATAAGTTTTCCCCTYGTTGCTCCACGCAACACAACCTCAACTACATCGATAAAATCTTGCTTTGTTTTAAAGCTTCCTATGAACTTTGTGTGATCTGGAGTGCTGTGAAAAGAAGAAATAAGATTACAATACAATAAAATTTGATACATCCTTACTAGCCTTGTCCCTAGTGTACTCCCTTTTCTACAGGAGAACTGAATAAAATAGCCCGTATTCAACTTCTTGCACAAAAGAATTGAAGACGAGGCTCAGAGAAATATTAGATCAATCTTTTGTTTCCAAACAGCAGCTTTGTCTTCATTTTTATTGTGCAAGAATATTTAAGAACTAGAATTTTGAAAATGAGCTATAGAAGAAGAATCTGGCAAGGTGTGGTCTGGCGACAAGGCTACATGTTAACACAATTTTAATAAGAATTAGATTTGTAACTTGCAGCACTTACCCATAATCTACTTTGATATGCTGTCCGTTGAAGAAAAAAATTGTTGCAGGAATTAAGGTTATGTCAAAGTACTTCGTGTAGACTGGAACATCATCCACTTCTACTTTGTAGATATCTGCCATGCGAGACAACTCTTGAGATGATTTGGCAAGCTTTTAGAGAAATAAAATACTTAATTAAGTAAATAATAAATGCATTTCAAATGRAAATCGCCTCAAATRTGAACCAAAACATTTGTCAGGGGAGGAGTTGGGGCACMAATTTCAAATTTAGGTGCTATTTTGCAACTAATTGCTAAGCCTAATGATATAAATATAGTGACTAGTTTAAAATACAACTGGAAACCGAAATAGAGGCATAAAATCCCTTGCTTTTAGGTTTCTGAATCATTCTCATTTACATAAACCTCTATCAAACTCGGCTGGTCTATGCATTAATTAAAACATTTTTTTTGGCGATAACAGAAATTTCCATTCAAAATCATGTCAAGAGCATCGAAAATAAATAAATTTATAGGGCTCAGAGAAATGAGTGAGAAAATTCTCAATCTTACTATGTCATCAAGTTGCATGCACACCAAATCTTTTTCCCTGCCAAAACGTAACACAAGAACTTTATCTTCGGTGTTTTTGATAGCATTATCCACGTCCTTCTTTTGCTTAAGTCCTGTAAGTAGATAACTCATGTTGAAAGACGAATTTAGTCCATAATATCACAGAAAGTTCTTTCCGCCATCTTGAAATTTTGTTGACATGCTAAGGTGCCTGGCCTTGATTATTGTCGAGGAAGAATGATACCCAAATTTCTTTTTATTCGACTTTGATCGAGCAAAGATATATYTATAAAGATGTCATTTATCTTTGAACTTTGGGACGCTTTKCATGTGATTTTGGTGAGTTTCCATGAGAACGTTTTGATAATCTTCGTGTATTTATAATGTAGAAATTAAACCAATCAAAACGCTTGTTCTTCTRAGGTAATGAGGGTCAATGCGAAGGCCATCACGCATGCCTGCGTAGGAGCCCTTCGAACAACAAGCAGTGAATCTGGTTTCTCGAATATTTTGGTACATTTGAGAGGGTCCTCTCTGTTGTAATTCATTATTCAAGCTCCAGTCTACACTGTTATGTTTTCTGGAGTGGTAATGAACGCATTGAATTACTGTCAACGGACAGAATGGATGAGGAAATTACAGAAAGCAGCGCCAATCGACAAGGCTTTGGTAAGCTCACTTAGCCCTTGACTGCACTCATATGGAATGTAGTAATAACTAATTCACATCGCATTTAGACATTGCAGACAGCTATTTTCGTATTCTCAGTTAAAATAACTCATCCTTTTTAATAATCCYGAGTAAAAACAATTTCAACGTATATTTGAGTCGTCCTTGAACTTCCAGAAACTTGATCATGTGTTTTGAAAACATTTCTTCATTTGTACATGTACAGTTCGCGTAAAAAGCCCATGTTTACTTATACAGCAATAATTGTCTTTTATAGAAAGATATACATAGTTGATAAAAACTTTTAAAAGGGAGGTTTTGGTAGGGACAAGTCTAATTTCCTTGCTTGTACTCAATTACAATCAAAACGCATGAATTTGCATCTACGAAAGTCCACGGATTTTGATAGTTATTGTGTTGACACACCATTTGTGGTTTCAGTTATTTTATCGTAATGCCAATGCTCTATGCTCMGTGTCAATTTTGTAATGTTATAGTAGTTTTYTTAATCCTTCCTATATGCGTCATTATTTCTTCGTGATGACGAAAATAGTGTACATTCATGTCAATAAAGGATTGGAACGAGTGGCGCGACGTTCCAGTCTTCTTTATATGCCAGATAAGGGATTTATAGATGAACTTAACTTATAGTGAAAGCTCTTTCGGAACCAAAGGACAATTCTAGAGGGGTTATAATTGGGAGATTTCCACACTTTTTACTTATTTACGATGCTAATTAGAAATGCATTAATTTCCAATACAGCACAATCTATGTGTGTGATTTTTGGAGCAAAACCAGACAGCACCTTGAAACCTAACACTTTTTGTGGGTGTCATTATACACAAAAAAAAATTAGCTCCAAGAAACATGGAAACAGATTCTTATCTGCATAGTTTTTTTCTGATTTCTCTTTATATTAATCCCTTTTATTCTTTCTTTCAAAGTTAAAAGTGTTGTTACAATGTATGTCTTTGGATCTTAGCCAGCTGTTTCATTTTTTTCTTTCCTGTATTAATTAACTTATGAATTTGAAGCTTCACTTGGGAAAAGTAATCATAAAGAAATGTAATGCAAACAACAAGCTTTAACTTGTGAAGCAAATTATTACTAATTAAAAAATGTTGAGATAAACAGCATGATGTACATGTATAAAAAGAGAGTCTCGGCAATAATTTGTGTTTACACAGTTCTTTTGTTTCATCTAATAATAATATCAATTATTTGTCTCTTAGATAATCCAGTAGATGCCTCTAATTCACCAGACACTAAGGTCTATCCACGTCCGATTGCTTTGGTTTCACCAACTAGACAATCGCTACTTTTTCAGCCCAGAATGATACCATTTCATGCAGGGCAACAAGTTTATACAAGCCTATCTGCGCCTTGCCTTACTCAAGCMAGTGTATTTTACTCTACACACTACATACCCCCTTCCCATCTTGCYATTGCACCTCCTCGAGGAGGCTATGTGGGAGGCATGCCTCCTTTAATGCCAATGCAGGGTAATTCATCAAGACCAAGYGTMGTCCAACTATCTCAYCGMAAGAGAAAGTCCTCAAATGACTCGGAGYTTTCTGAAGGAGAGGTRTCCAGGCATTCTAGAAGCTCTGTAGGGAGTCCAGAGGAGCTTATTGTCAAGCCAGAGGAATCATCGATGGAATACAATGATATAAGCCCTCCTGCTACTCCATTATCATCAGTGTCTTCMCCAGGGCAAAAGATGGTCAATTCGCCACAGTCCCCTTCAGTAGGTTCATCACAAATTAATGACATTTGCGGGATTTGCGGCGATAAAGCRACAGGACACCATTATGGTGTGTCAAGCTGCGAGGGTTGTAAAGGATTTTTTAAGAGGAGTGTTCAAAATAAGAAGGTTTATACATGTCGGAACTTGACAAAGGACTGTCCAATGGACAAGAGACATAGAAACAGGTGTCAGTACTGCAGGTTTCAAAAGTG